AAATAACGCATTGATAATTTAAACTACCTATCAAACACATTGCTCAACTTTTGGGCTTTGTGGTTCACAAAAAAGGCATAGAAATCAAGCATAAGAAAATGAGTGTTATATTCAATACAGAGCATCCAACAAACTAAAAACAACTTCAATCTCTATTAGGAAAAAATTAATTTCTTTAGGAGATTTATATCAAATATAAGTGGAAAAAGCAAATGTGTTTTCACCACTGTCGCACTTAAAGAAAGAAGAAGGATTCAGGTGGGAGCAAAAACATCAAAGAGTATTTGTTGAAATTAAAAAATACATGTCAAATCCTCCTATTCGATTACCTCTTATAAGGAATAAAACCATGAAGTTGTATATTTTTGCGTCTGATTCGACAATAGGCCGCATGTTTGCACAAGACGATGATGATGGTGTCGAAAAGGCCATTTATCACCTTAGTCGAGTTTTGAACAATGCAAGAACTAGGTATAGCTCAATAGACAAGTTATGCATATGTTTGTATTTCTCTTTTACTAAATTGAAATATTATATAAAGCCATCATATGTTTTCTTCTATTCTCATTTTGACGTTATTAAACATATGCTTTCAAAACCTATTTTGCATAGTCGAGTATGAAAATGAGCTCTGGCTTTAACTGAATATTCTCTCACTTATGCGCCTTTAAAGGAGATAAAAGTTCAAATCATTGTTGATTTCATTGCAAAATAGCAACAGTCGAAGTAACAGAAAATTATGTTGAGTTAATACCCTAGAAGTTATACTTCGACGACTCCAGACATAAAAATGGAAATGGTATTAGAGTTCTGATTATTTCCACCAAAGGGATTCCAACCAAATTCAAATTTAAAATCTAAGGTTGTTGCTTCAATAACGAGGCCGAATATGAAGCCTTAGTTGCAGGCCTTAATATTCTGTTAGACTTGGGGGAAAAAGGAGACGAGATTAAAGGCGACTCAGAGTTGGTGGTGAAGTAATTGACAAAAGAATATAAGTGCATCAAAGAGAATCTATTGATGTACTTCGTCACAGCCAATTCATAGCTAAATATTTGATTCAATCGACATCAAACATGTGCCTCGACTAGAAAATCAAGAGGTTAATGACTTAGCACAAATTGCTTTAGGATATAGAGTCTCCAAAGAGAAGTTAGAAGAATTAATCAAAGTTAAAGAAAAGTTAATTGCGACCAATATTTTCCCCTCAAAATTGTCAAATCCAAAATGGTGGGGGTAAAAGGGTGTGAAAAATTGCAAAATGCTGAAATTTTTGAAATTTTTGCAATTGACAATTTGTCGAATGATGATTAGCAATAATCAATTATAGAATTTTCAAAAAATCCTATAAGAGTAGCAGATTGAAGAGTCACATATAAAGCATAAACTTATGTGATTATTGGAAATAAGTTGTTTAAAAAGACTCCTAAAGGAATTCTACTTAAATGCCTTAGTGAAAGTGAAACGTATTTGGAAATCTTTGATGTCCATAGTGGGTCATGTGATGCTCATCAGGTAGGTCATAAGATGAAATGACTTTTTATTTTGAAAAAGGATTGTATTGGTCAACCATGTTGAAAGACTATATTGAATTTGCATAAGGTTGTCACGACTGTAAAAACATGCAGGTATTCAACATGTTCCGGTAAGTGAGTTGCATTCAATTTCCAAGCCATGGCCATTCGAAAGTTGAGAATTAGATTTGATCGGTGAAACTCGACTTGCATCGTCCAAAAACCATAAGAACAATTTGGTTGGTATAAATTATTTTACCAAGTGAGCCAAAGTTGTTCCTTTGATCAATGTCGATCAAGAAGAAGTAATTAATTTAATCCAAAACCATATAATTTATAGGTTTGAAATTCTTGAAACCTTAACCACTGACCAAAGTATAATCTTTACTGGTTGAAAGATGGTTGAATTTTCTGCAGATTCAGGAATCGAACTTTTGACATCTACTCCTTATTACGCCCATGCAAATGGCCAAGTCGAAGTGGCCAATAAAATTATAATATGTATAATTAAGAGACAGGTGGGTCAAAATCTAAAGAATTAACATTAGACATTGGACCAAACACTTTGAGCTTGTCGAACTTCTTCTAAAGAGGTAACCAACTCTACTCCATTTTGACTAACGATTGGTTATGATGCAGTTTTCTCCCATCGAAAAATGATTTCAGTTGATAAGGGTACAAAGGTAGGCTGAAATACCTCTGAACCACTATTGAAGTATGATTACGGTTGGAAAGTTATTTTACATATAGATCGAAAAGATAGAATTTTGGGTAAATGGTTACCAAACCGAGAAGGCCCATTTTGAATCAGTCGGGTCTTTTCAATTAACACTTATGAAATTGAAGAATTAATCCCTGAAGGTCGAATATGAGGATAAATGACAAGTACTTAAAAAAGTAAAATTCTATTTTGTTGGAAATTCAAATAGCAGGAGAATAATTCATAAGGAAATAGAATGATAAAATGAAATTGAAATAAAAAATGCCAAAATGGTGTATTATCATTAGTACAAATTATAAACCATTAATACAATCAAATGAGAAAAAATGAGGTCGAAAGTTTAAAATGGGAAATCATTCTGAAGCTTCTCAAGACGTCTCTTATGGATTGTTACTCTTGAATCATTAAAGGTTTGTGTCAAACCTCTCTAATTATGTTGTATGTTCTATTCTAATTGTTCTTTGTTAATGGTGAAATCATGTTCAAGCATGTGTTGAAATTAGATTATTTATATTAATAGGAGTATGTGGTGATTTGATGAATAAAAAAAATGATCGATGTTATATGTATTTGAATTGCATTCATTTTTTATGTGAAAATTCTTGCTTAATTGAATATGTCGAATTATGGGTTTTGAACTAGCATAAAATTAGAGAAAATTGAGATTTGGATATGTTTTAATGGAAAAATGCAGAAAACGCGTTCTACAAGTGATGACGGGCGTCACCTTAGGTGACGATCCGACCCTCATCACGTCGGAGAAGAAGACATGTCTCGCCTAGCTGACGGGCGTCAGCGATCCAGACATGCAACTACCCAGACTGTCAGCGCCTCTCAACATGCACAATCTCCCTCAGACCGTCAACGATAATGGGTAGACTACCTAGGAGGCGACGACCGTCATGGCCTTGAAGGGGCAGCCATCAACCTCGTTTCGACCAATTTTGCTGCTTGACTCGATTTTTCATATATATTTTGATTCCTCGACTTATTTTATAGTCTTTAAGTTATAATTATGGACAAAAGAGTTTTGATGTTTATGATCAATTTAATTGATAGCCACCTCGTGAGTAGACAAGATTGAATATTGATGGTTTAGGTTCAAGACAAACCAATGTTTTAGCCCTAACTAACAATATTGATATGTTTAGGTTCACAATAACTAATGTTAGCCTTAACAATTAAACAATGTTCATAATTGGCGTAGGAGGTTTGGATGGAGAATTACATTTGTCTATGACATTATGCATCATGTATATCAGAATTAGTTTAGGACTTCAGTCCAATGTTTAAGATTACTCCGTAACATACCTCCAATATCTAGTGTTTGACTCGACTTTTCATAGATATTTCAATTCCTCGACTTATTTTATAGTCTTTAAGTTATAATTGTGGAGAAAGTTTTGATGTTTATGATCTGTTTAATTGATAGCCACCTTGAAAGTAGGTAATGTTGAATATTGACGGTTTAGGTTTAAGACGAACCAATGTTTTAGTTCTAACCAACAATGTTAATATGTTTAGGTTCACAATAACCAATGTTAACCTTAACAAACAATGTTCATAATTGGCATAGGAGGTTTGGAAGGAGAATTGAATTTGTTTGTGACATTATGCATCATGTATATTAGAATTAATTTAAAATTTTGATCCAATGTTTAGGATTTCAGTTCAGTGTTTAGGACTTCGATTCAATGTTTAAGATCACTCCGTAACATACCTCCGATATCCGATATTTTCACTTAAGACTTGTATAGCTACTTTTTAAGTGGATAAATGATTAATCATTGAGAATTAGGATTAAATAATCTATTATAACTAATAGCAAGGAACAAATCCATTAACTAGCAGCATCATATAAGGTGTGCAAGAAAAAAATCTAAGCAAGACACATTCCTAACTTTGTTTATTATTAATTTTCAAATGTGTATTTTACCTCATTCAACAATCAAACACTTTTGGTTCAACAAATATATAATTAAACTCAACACTTATTTCAATATTCATGTTTGATATTTCATAGCACACACATGCAACCTGTATAACTATTAGTTATGATCATCAGTTTTCCATTAATAGCACATCATTATCTTTGAGTACCAAAACCAAATGCCAACCTATACAATCCCATAATAGGATAAATTCCACCCTATCAATCTAACAAATCTAAAAAAAATAAACATAAAAAGTAGCAAATGATAGTGAATGGCATAACACAATTTTCGTGTCAGCAACCATTTCACAAACAATCTCTACCACATATTAGCCTCAAACAAATCCGTATCCTTCTCCCAATTCAATTACTAAACTCAAACAATTATAACCTTTGATTATCATCGTTAATCGTTATTATTAACATCAACAAAGCCTCTGAAAAAAGTGTCTCCCCCTCTCACATTTTCCTTGCATTCTTTATCGATGAAGGTGAATGGGAGAGAGACGAGTTCCAATTTAAGTAAAATATACAATTAATTAACCCTCAAACACCATCATCGACCTGGATTATCAAATGGAAATGCAACGTATGAAAGAGTTATTATCCCTTTTGTTAGCATTCAAAAACAAAAGAGTTGGTCTTGTTGGTGGTAATCACACTGCATCTAGGTTTTGCTCTCGCTAAAAATTTGCCCTAACTTCTATCCACACCCCCTATTCTCTCTTTCATTCTTTTATAATTTATTCCCTTAACATTTTCACCATATCTCTTTTAACTTTTTTTTATACATTCTTCTTTTGCCTTATTATTTTTTGAATATTACAACACCATGGGATTCGATCTAGCTACTTATTCCTTTGGATCAAATGGTTCTTTTTACAATAAAAACAAAAATCCTAGTGTATTTTCTTTCAATCCAAAAGCCTACTATCTTGTAATTAAGTTCCCTACTTCAGGAACATGGAAGATTTTTTATCGGTTGGTTATTTTGGCATTGTTTGTGGCTTCATTACCATTGATAAGTTCATCATTTGGTTCAAGAAACCCTACTAGTCTTGATAATGCAGCCTCAAACAACATGGAGATTCTTCCACAACAAAAACTTAGTAAATTTGATCATCCCATCAACATGGAACAACTTTTATCACTTCTCTTCAGCGACCTATCCAACGAAGGCCTTGTCAAGAATTCGAAACAACACAAATCGGTTTTCCTTGGAGACAAAGAACAAGGGTTTCGTCAGTTTTTGAGTCTCAAAGATCAATACAAAATGGATTACATTCCGTTAAAGGATGTGGAGAAACAAAAATCCATTCTCGATAATACAGTTGATTTCATCTTCACGTCGGACTTTGCGGCTTCATCAAAATTCATTGATAGAGCTCTAAAAACAAATGGCATTGCTGCAGTGGTGATTCTAAATGCCGCCGCGTTTAACAAACCCTCAAACTACAAGGTAGCATACATGAGAAGGTTCGAGAAAGTAGTAATGGCAATGAAGAAGGTACCAACTTCACCAGTTACCGAAACAAATTTGAAAGTTGGTGTGCATAGAAAGTTATTCGGCTATGCAGCCGAGGCAAAGAAAGCAGCACTTCAGAAACTCGAAGATGTTCTCCTCGAGCCTCCGCGTGCTGCCTCTGGGAAATCAAGGGTGTATTTGAAGCGTACAAAGTTTTTACCTGATTTAATGGGTGACACCCTTGAAAACTACCCTCGTCGAGTTTTCATCGACGTAGGGTTGCCACAAAAAGACGGAGGTAGTGGAACTCATTGGTTTTCAAAGAATTATCCAACAAGGAACAAGAATTTTGAGATGTATAAGATAGAGACCGTCACGGAGGGTTCAACCGCAGCTCACGTTGAGATGTCAGATTGGTTGACGAAGAACGTAAAAGCTGACGAGTACGTGGTGATGAAAGCCGAAGCCGAAGTTGTTGAGGAGATGATGAGAAGTAAGGCTATCATGTTGGTGGATGAACTTTTCTTGGAGTGCAAGCCACATGGTTTGAATTTGAAACAAGGGACTAGAGGTAGAAGGGCTTATTGGGAATGTTTGGCTTTGTATGGAAAGTTGAGAGATGAAGGAGTAGCAGTTCATCAGTGGTGGGGTTAATTAGTTAATTGATGGATCAATTGATTGCTTCTGGCAGAAGTAATTCATTTATTAATGCATGAGATTCTCAACAAACTGTGTACCTAAATCATAATAACTTATTAAAAAAGTTCATGCATTTTTATGAACATTGTGCTAGCTCATGCAAGTACTATTGTTTTCAACATTGCACCATTGAGTGACAGTGTTGAATTGGATTTGTGCTTTGAGAGAGATCGATGTAAATATGGAGACCAAAATTCCCAAGTTTAAAAGCTTGAGAGAGTTAGAGAGATGGTTGTGGATCTGGTTGGCCTTAATTAGCTCAAAACAATTAAGGCAAAGGAATTCAACTCTATCTCTACTTGGTTTTTCTTTCTTTCAATTTTTGGCTTTATGTATATTTCTATCTCCATTTTGAAATGTGTAAATTGAGCTACTCACTTTGTGTCCAATGAAATTTAAATTAATATAAATTATTGTGGTCCATAAGTAAAATAAAAAATGAATATAATGTTTGGTTTTTATGGTTTAGTTGAAAGATAATGGTGAGAAAATTAAGGATAATGCTACCTGAAAATAGTAAAATATAATATTTCTCTTAGGTTAATTGTACATATCTGCAGTTGTAGCATGCTGATATTTCCTTTTAGAATATTACCTCTTCTCTAAAGCATGTCAAAACTCTCTTTAGGAGATTTACGTTTTGCTCTAAACCCTCCTACAATGTAGAGAAGATTTAGAATTTAAACCACAATTTCTACAATTATATTTATTTTGTTAATCGACGGTGAGATTGATTTTTTGAATTAGTCCATCCTTGAAGGGAATACCAAATTTTAAAAAATGAATTTTCATTTTTATGTATCTTGTGATTAGCAACATGTTCCTATAAAATTTTTATTCTGTAATTTAATCCTACATTATTTTATTGAAGGATATGTTGATAGATTAGTTATTAGGGTGTATTTATTTGATGAGTTAAAATTATAATTATGAGAATATCAATATTAAAAACTTTAATGTTATCAATGTGTTTGACAAATAAATAAGTTCTCAAGAATATTTTTAGATTTTATTTTAATGAAAATTAAAAAATAAATGTTTTAAATATTATTATTATTGATAATGTTTGAGAAATGTTTCCGTTAACTCTCTCCATATCTAAATATGCGTGCGTTCCAACTGCATATACCACTCAAGAGAAGCTCCACTAAGATTGTCTTGAAAAAAATGCATGAGTACAAAATCGGATGTGGGTCCTTGGACAACTAACCCCTTTGAACTTTTCAAAATCTGGAATTTTGAACTTAGCAGGGATCTTGACACCAGGTACCATGCACATATCAACATCGTCCAACCCAAAGGCGTTGGAACCTTCAATAACTTCATTTTTTCTTCCAGAGCACGCAATTTCTTTTCCACCCCAACATTCGATGACCCAAAGGCATCATAGACGGAGTCATTCTTAGGGATAAAGAAAGTATCATTGTGATAATCTATTTCAACTGGAGTTCCCCCACAAGAACATAATTTTGATTCACTAGACCCCCTTCAGGAGTTGGATTGGCACCAACAGAAGTTGGAATAACACCAACTGGTAGGTTTATAGGGATATGCATAGGAAGATTCAATGGAGGTGGCACATGAGGATTTATAGCGACGTCCCTCAAAGCGGTTTATCAGAGTTCTTCTTGGCCTCTGTCCATTGTTTGTATAGCTTCCATCAGTTGCCCCATCTAGGTCTGCATGTTAAGCATATCCTCTATCAAGCTATTAGTTAACTTGAATTACAAATCATGAAGTTCACCGCCGAGTTTTGATTTATCCAAAGGAAAGGGTAAAGATCGAAGAAAATCCTAAGTGCACTACGTAACAACGAAGCTAGAGATCTAAGGTTTGAGGGGTTGGTTATACCTAGGGAAGGTGTTAGCATCTTAAGTATCTGTAGTACTCTACAAGAACCTTTTGTTAGTATTTATGTTATACTAAAGTTTGCTTACTAAGGAAAAAGTGCTAAGGTAAAGACTTAAGGTATATACACTAAGTATGCTCGCCAAGACATTGCATCTCGTGCCTACGTATCCTAACTAGGATGGAATCAGAGCAACCGTAATTCTCCTAACTAAGGATGAGGAAATCTTGACTATGGTCAAGGTTCTAGAGGAGAGTAAGTATATTTATAACCATGATAACATAGAGTTAACCAACTCTCTAAATCTAAGTTGACAATCCTAACTAGGGTTGACTTTAACCAAAGTCAAAGGAGAAAGTGAATACTCATAACCATGATACTCGCATAGAGCTTACCAACAATATACCTAAATCTAAGTTGCGAAACCAATTGGTTCTAACATACCAAAATGAGGAAGATAAGTGTTAGTTGTTAGTGGTTAGAGGGCTCGACAAAATATCGCATCTTGTGCCTACGTATCCTGACTCTGAAAGAGGAATCAGAGCCTCTGTAGTTCGGCTAACTAGGGATGAGGAACTTTTGATAACGATCAAGGTTCTAAAGGGGAGTAAGTATCCATAACCATGATACTTACACATAGTTAACCAACTCTCTAAGTCGAAACTATGTTAAAACAAGTAAAACTCTCACAAGGCATCAGGGAAAAGAAGAATTATTAATTAATTTAAATATTAATATTAAATAAGATTAACTAATAATTTAATTAATCAAATTAAATAAGAATATTTATATTAACTAATAATTACATCATATATATGTTTTACATTTTAAATATATTTCTAAATGAAAACAAATAAGAAAAAAAACTAAAATAAATAAATAAAATATTTTTGGTATTTTCTAAATATTTCCAAATAACTGATTAAAACTAGAAATAAAAACATAAATAAAAGTAAATGATTAAAAAAATATTTTTTTTGTATTTTTAGTAGTAACAAATTGATAACCTATATTTAATAAACTAAGTATTTAACCTAATTATCTTGATTAACTTAAAACAAAAGCTACTTAATTAAAATAAATAATTGTTCTAAATGACCAACTAAAAAAAATTACAGGTGCGTTAATTGGGAAATGAAGTATGTGGGCTAGTAAAATGGTAAGAAAAACAAAGCATAATACTACCAACTCAATCTAAAAATTAAAATTAAATAAAAATAAAGTAAAAAGAAATTGAAAGGAAACAACAATGTAATAACTGGACGGTAGACAGTAGGCTGATGCATTCTTTGATAAGATTTTTTTACCTTTTTTTAACCAACAATAGCCATTCAAACAGAGACATGTGGCAGACTCAAAATATTTAAATAAGAAAAATAGAAAACAATAGAAACTAAACTACATCAGTAGAAACAACAGTGGTCATTTTTCACTTATTCATAATGCCACAAAAATTATTACTACCATGTAGAAAATACTAATGCTATAAAATACCAATTAAAACTAATGTTACTTATCAGTTGGATTCAATGCTACAAGATACCATATAGCCTTTAAATTATATACTCTTAGTACATTCTAAACGTTGATAAAACCAAACGTACGTACAGGAAGGCCTGAAAATTTTTCAACACATCCACTGTTTTAACAAAGCTTAAACAACAACAATGAGCAAAACTTTCATAAACTATCAAGTCATTCTAAACAAAACACACTGCACAAGAAGCATTTCACTACTCAAACTCACTTGAAGTCAAAACGACAAAACATTGGATCAAGTTTATTTTATGACACATTTTCTGATGATTTTCAGCCCTCTTGATCAAAGCAAACTTGTTAGACAAGTTGGGATCAAGTTTGAATTCTCTACATGATGCCAAAAACAATTCTGAGCAGCTGACTTTGGGGCAGGTTTTGGGCACAGTGTAGATGGTTGTTTTTCACCAAAATAGCATTCTTGGGTAGTCAACATGGAAAGGAACAATTTTTCAGTTATAGAAAAGTGCAGAAAAAGTTTGGAAAGGCTTCAAAATAGCCCCTCAATTCGTGTCCTCAAATCTGGCCTTCAACCCTTCATGAATACCTTGGCACCTTGTCTCTACCATAACATTTTTCTCAAACCATATATCTTTACAAACTTGGTATCAACGGAAAGCTGAGATAATCATCCACAACTTTCATGTTTTAAGAAAGTTGAAATAAGACTTGGAAGTACATGAAAAATGGCATGAAAGTTTGGTAAAATTTGTCACTCAAGGGACCAAGCAGAATTTTTCTAAGTTACGAAAACATGACATTAAAACCCTTCACTTTAGAGCTTCATAACTTGAGATTGGTTGGTCAAAATGAGAAGTTCTTGGTATGCTTGGAAAGCTTGGAGAACAAGGAACAACTCTTATGCTTGAGGAATTTTGAATTGAGCCTTGAGTCATTAAGAAAAATCCACATGAAGTTGCTTTTAAAATGCTGGAAATTATATTGTCAATTTTAACAACTTTGCAACCCTAACTTCAAAGCACCATAACTTGAGTTCTAGACATGATTTTGAGGAGTTCTTGATATCAACAGAAAGCTGAGAATATTATCTACAACTTTCATGTTGATAGAAAATTCAAATTAGACTTGGAACCCTCTTGAATTTGGCCATGAAAAACACTCCAACAAACTTAAATTTATAACTTAGAAAATTTTCTAAGTATGGAATTTCCAAATCAAGTTTTTCCTAACTTTGAATAAATATAACTCCAAATCCATTCATCTTTTGGACACGATTTCTTCTACAAACTTGTAGTATAGGATACCCTATTTACAAAGATCATTGGTTTGCTCCAATTAGCTCATGGATGAGTGAGATATGACTCTTGCAAGATGACTAGAATTCTTGATTTTATGATTCTAACTTGATTTTTCTTGATTCATTCATATGAGACCATGAAATAAGACTTGTAAAATTCATAGTTGATCACAAAACTCAAAGGTTGACTTTTATGAAGCTACAATCGACTTTTGAATTAGATGAAAGTAAAACTTCTCCCATCCACTTAGGACACTCTTGACTTGAGTTTCTTGGGACCGAATGGGATCTTAGGGACCCTTGAGATGCATG